CTCTCTCTCTCTCTCTCTCTCCGCTTGATCGGTCTCAATACATCCGAAAAACCTGTTATATATGTAATAATGCATAAACGGAAACTCTTCTATTTTTTGTACAAAATAATTTAAAACAACTTAAAACAACATTCTGTCATTAAATTCAAATAAATGCAAAAAGAACTTATTAAAAGAATATTTTTTTATATAAAAAGTAGAAAAAATTGAATTTTTTTCTCGATTTCATTTTTCCGAAAAATTAAGAACTCTACACTAAAAGAAAAGATTGACTACTGCAGCAAATTAGATAGTAAAATATGGCATAGCATTTTTAATTGGTTAACAACAGCTAATTTTTAGTTGCTGCAGCCAATTGTTAGTTGTGTTAGTTTATATGCTATGTCAGTATAGGACTTGGATTGGCTATCGCAAAAATTGATTGCTACAGCCAATTAAAAATGTTATGCCATATTTAATCATCTAATTTGTTGCAACAATCTTTTCTTTCAGTGTAACCGTAGCAATGTGCGATATGCGATATCTACAACTGTTTAGGAGCTGAGACTTCATAGCCACGATTCTTCAGATAAAAAAAAGATCGCCGCGTAATCTATAATTTGTATATCGAAAATGTAATTGACTAACTAAAATGTCATTCATTACATAATTAATAATTAAATCTTATCACTCTTACTGATTTTGTTCGGCTGATTCATTTCGGATTTTAAATTTGTGAGACATCCCAAATAACCTCACCATTTTCTTTATTTAATGATCCGACCATAGAAAGATGAAGAATACCCAAATAAAATTTCTTACGTGACATATAGAAATTTATAAGTTATAGTCAAAGAGAATAGTTTGCAATATGTACAAGCACTTGTATATTAAAAGAAAAGATTGGCTGCATAGCATTTTTAATTGGCTGAAGCAATTAATTTTTGGTTGCAATAGCTCACTTCTTCTTCCCCTTACAATCTAATCTTTAAGTTTAATATTAAAGAGTTCTTCAATATTAATTATTATTCCTATCGAAATTGTATGTTGATATTGCAGATAGGTCAACGCAACTAAAAATTAGGTACTGTAACCAAAAATTGACTGCTGCAATCAATCTTTTCATTCAGTATAATAACGTCCAACAAGAAA